TTTTGCTGAGGAAGACTGGCCCTGGGCTAACATCTGTGCCCATCTTCCTCCACTTTATATGGGATGCCACCACAGCATGGCTTGCCAAGCAACACGCCAGTGCGTGCCCGGGATCTGAACCGGCGACCCCCGGGCCGCCGCAGCAGAGTGCGCGCACTTAACCACTTGCACCACCAGGCTGGCCCCAGATATTTTATTCTTGATTAGAATTTGGAAGTAAGTTTGGCTGATGTATATTAGCATATGTTTAAATGTGTTGAAGTTTTTATTTAATATACCAGAATTTTTTGAAAGCAAATGAAGTATCAATTGATGTATCTATAAAACAAATTCTACCACTGTCAACTATTCTAGGGAAAGCTAGAATTTGTTCAGATACGTTCATTTATTCAACGTCTATTTTAGACAGTATTTTAAGTTCTGGGGATACAGTAGTGAACAAAACAGATAAAATTCCTTGCCCTCTTGGGTCATTTATTCTGGTAGAGGAGAAAGCCAATGAATAATATAAATTAGTAAAATATTAAGTAAATAAGAGAGTGCTAAGTTCTGGGGAGAAGAAAATAAAGCAGGAAAGGAGAAAATGAAATAGAAGCGAGGTTGTATATGTGTGTGTTGGTGGGGTGCTGAAACTTTAGAGTCGCCAGGGAAAGACTCATTGGGATCGTGCCTTTAGGTGAAAGACCTGAAAGAAGTGAGGGAACAAGCTATATGGCTTTGTTGGGGGTGATGGTGGGGAGTACATCATTCCAGGCAGAGGGAACAGTAAGTGCAAAAGAGTGTACCTGCCATATTTGAAGAACAGCAAGGAAGCCACCTCTGGTTGGAGTGCAGGTAACCATGGGGAAGGGTAGTAGGGGATGAGATGTGAGAGGTAACAGGGAGCCCAGTCATGTGAAGCCTTATGTGCCACAGTAAGGACATTGAATTTTACTGAGATGAGAAGCCAATAGAGGGTTTTGAGCAGAGGAGTGACATGATGTGATTTTTTTAACAGTATCACTCTGGCCACTGTGTTAAGAATAAAATGCAGGAGGCAGGGAACTAGTTAGGAGGCTGTGGTAATCCAGAAGAGAGATGATGGTGGCTCCCACATGGTAGCAGTAGGGCTAGGGAGGTAGTGAGAAGTGGTCAAATTGTGTATGTGTGTTCAATCAACTTTATTGAGGTGTAATTAACATACAATAAAATGTACACATTATAAAGTTCAGTGAGTATTGACAAATTTATCTGTTCATATAACTGCTACCACAATCAAGATATAGAACGTTTCTATCACCCGAAAGATTCTTTTACTCTTCTTTCAGTCAGTCCCCACTCCCAGCCCCTGCCCCCAGGCAACAACTGATCTACTTTCTATCGCTGTAGATTAGATTTTTCCTTTGGAGAGCTTCACATAAATGGAATCGTATAGTATGTGTTCTCTTTCGTCTGGCTCTTTTTTTTTTTTTTTTCTGAGGAAGACTGGCTCTGAGCTAACATCTATCGCCAATCTTCCTCCTTTTTTTTTCCCCCCAAAGCCCCAGTAGATAGTTGTATGTGATAGTTGCACATCCTTCTAGTTGCTGTGTGTGGGACGCGGCCTCAGCATGGCCGGAGAAGCAGTGCGTCGGTGCGCGCCCGGGATCCGAACCCGGGCCGCCAGTAGAGGAGCGCACGCACCTAACCGCTAAGCCACGGGGCCGGCCCTCGTCTGGCTTTATTTTAGCTCAGCATAATGTTTTTAATGTTCGTCCATGTTGTTGCATGTGTTGGTAGTTTGTTCGTTTTATATTGCTAAGTGGTAGTCTGTGATATATTATATTTATTTTGAAGGTTGGACTATAGCATGTGATTGACACCAAGATTTTTGACTTGAGCTATAAGAATGGAGTTGCCTTTAACTGAGGTGGGGAAGATTGCAGGAGGAACTAGTTTGTGTGTGTAGGGGGGCGGGGGGTGGTGTGGGCATCAGGAGCTTAGCCTTGGGCATGCTTATAAACAAGTTCTGGATGCCTATCAAACATCCAAACGGAGATGTCAAGTAGGCAGTTGAAGTGTGGAGTTCAGGAGGAAAGTTGAGGCTGGAGAAATAAATTTAGGAGTCATTGGCATATAGATGGTATTTAAAACCACAAGAATTTGGGAGTAAGTGTAGAGACAAAAGAAAAGAGGTCCAAGTAATGAGTCGTGAAGCACTCCAACATTTATTTAGAGGCGCAGAGATGAGGCAGAAGTGGCAAAAGACGTTGGAAAGAAGCAACCAAAAAGGAGGTGAATGTGGTACCCTAGAAGCTAAGAGAGAAAGTGTTTCTCAGACGAGACAGCATCAGCAACTGTGTCAAATGCTCCTGATAGATCAAGTAAGTTGAGGGCTGAGAAATGATCACAGGATTTAACAATTAGGAGTCTATTGGTAAGCTTGAAAAGAGCAATTTTAAGATAGGAGTATAGACAGTGTGTTCAAGTTTTGCTGTAAATGGAAGGTGAGAAATACAGCAGTAGTTGGAGAGGAGAATGAGAACAAGGGAGTTCTTTTTAGATAAGAGAAATAATAGTATGTTTTTATGCTGTTGGCGATGATTCAGTAAAGAAGGAAAAATTAATAATGCAAGAGAGAAATGGGAGAATTGTTGGATCAGTGTCCTTTGAGAAGGCAAGAGAGGATGGTACCTAATACATACAGGTGGAGACTGCCTTTGGCTAGGAGCATGGACACTTCATCATAGTAACAAGAAAGAAGGTCAAGTGTATGGAAATATATGTAGGTAGGTTGTTACCCTCACCTTCATTTCCACTGTGGTTTCAATCTCCAGCTGTCATACATGTCTTGTATCCTGAACATTGTTTGTTTATAATAAAGAGGGTTGGTGCCAGGAAGAGAACAAACTTCCCTGAAGCAATAGATAATTTGTCATTACAATGATTCCCATTTATGATAACTTTATTTCAGAATATCTCCAATTTTAAAGAGATGCCATAAAATTCTCAGTTTAAATTAACTTTAGTTTTAAAAAAGAAAA